TCCTTTTTCCGTCTTTAGACATGTCCCATTTAAGTACTTCGGGGTTTCCATCACATATGTTTGGCAAACCGGACCCATCCACGGACGCGCCCTACCAAGCCTTTAAAAGTGCATGTACGCGCTTGTCCGGTCCTGAACCATTACCATTACCATATGGAAAACCCATAAAGCCCATCCTCATAAAAATCCTCAAAGTCATGAAAATCATTTTCTTTAAAATACTTTCGATCGTTATCGGAAACTCATAGCATAGAATACGTTTTCATGACTTAAAACATTATCCATGAGCTTTGGCATGCATATGCATTTTGAATGACAATGTATGCTAACAATGATACTCAAGTACATGTCCTAAATGGTCGTGTAACCATGTTATGAAAACACAAATAAAATCGAACAACATAACAACATAAATAACATCAATTTGGCACGTCGATTACCATAACCACAATTCTCATTACCAATCACAACTCAAGCATAACCATCATTCATTAATCATGGCATCACATACATTATTGGAAAGAAAATAAAATCATAACACAATAGTAAGTAAACAATTATATTTCATTTTAGTTCCATTGATTTACTTTACATTTTAACATTTCTAAGTTATTTCTCTTATGCTCCTAACTACCCTTTCACATCTAACATTTACCAAATTATGTACTAATCCATGTTCTAACTTAATTAAGTATTATTCATTGATTACATAGTCCAAATTCGATTTGGGCCTTAATGGGCCTAAGGTCTAATTTTTCCTAAATCAATTTTGTTTTTTAGATTTTCGTAAACACTTTTATTCTAAAACATCCTTTTACATTATCTTGAGCATGAATGAACTAATTTAGGGTATAGAACTTAAAGAGTGACTTTTAAGTGATCGATGAATTATACGAGCGAGAGACACATCCGTGTGAGAGGTCGTGTAACTCTCTGCCTTCAAGAAAAACACATTTCTTCATTACACGAGCAAGGACACATCCATGTGGGAGGTCGTGTAATTCTCTACCTTCAAGAAAAATATATTTCTTCATTACACGAGCAAGGACACACCGTGTGGGAGGCCGTGTAACTCTTTGATTTCAAGAAAAACACATTTCTTCATTACACATTTTCTTCAATTTTTAGTAAATTTTTCATTTCTACTCATCAAAACATGCTTATTCAAGTGTGAATGACTCATCAAATCAGAATCAATTTGCTTTGAACTCAACCCCTAATTTGCTTAGTTTAGGCCAAATATAATTTCTAACAATTAGTGGATTTTTCTTCAATTAGAGTGTAATTTTTCATTTCTAAACATTAATTCATACTCAAATAAGCCAGAATCAAGTGACAAAACCAATTAAATGAAAGAATTCAAAACCTCCAAATTTGGTTCATTAACCCTAACCCTAATTTTTATCAATTGAGCAATTAAATATGAAATTGACTTGAAATTAAGCATGCTTGTGGTGGAGGTGAGGTTAACTTACTTGTTTGAGCTTCGATTAGACTCTAAAAATGTAGATTGGTGAAGGATTTCTCTTCCTCCTATTTTCTCCTAAATTTTTGAATTTGATCTTTGAATTTTTCCCTTGAGATTTTTGGCTTCCTACTTAAAATTCAAGCTTCTTCCACTTATTAGAGATGGATAGAATTTATTAAAAATGTTTTGGGTGATTTTTAAGTAAAAATTTTGTAAGAGTTTCCTTTGTGTTTTTCAATTTTTCCTCTCCTTTTTATTTTTCCAGCACCGTTATTTGTATGAAATTTTGTGGAATCATTGACCCATCTACGACCTTAATGTGGGAAAATATCAGCTACTTAATTCGGTTTCTAATCATTAATTTTCATTTGTCCTAATTTTTAGCCATTTATTCACCTTTTATTTAACCCTTCCACCTTGCTTATTTTTGGCCATAATTTTTACTGGAAGTCAGACTTAATTAATGCTCTAGGTTGGCCAAATTTGGGAGGAAATGACAAATTTTGGTCCTTCATGTTTCTAGACTTTTACGTAGCCCATTGTTTCCTAAGTCCCTCTTTTATGGAAAAACTCACTTCTAATCCTTCCTTTTCAGTTCTTAGGACTAATTTTTAACCCTTAACATTCTCACATAATTTAATTTGGATTACTATACTTTTAATTTTATGCAATCGAGTCCCTAATTTTATGCAATCGAGTCCCTAATTTTATGCAATTTAGTCCCTACTTTTAAAATCCAATTCTATATTTTTCAAAAATCAAATTTATTTCTATAATAAATTCAAAAATTCATTAAGGGAGTTTTATTTAAATTTTCATAATTTGTGGCCCTAATTTGGGCCTTCAATTTATTTATTTAGTGTGAAAATTACACTATTTCCAATGAAAAAATATTCCCTATACTTACTAAAATTAATTTAAATTTTCTAGGCACTCTCACACATCCTATATGATTGTTATATTCTCTTAAAAAAATTTCTCATACTCGTAAGGTGCCTAATTAAATTCTTTACCTCTAAAAACACTATTCCTACACTTAGAAAATTCAATGAAATATTCACCATATGTAGAAAAATTCATAAAATCATATAAAATAATCTAAAACCCTTCTAAAAATTATTCTAAATAAAAAGATATTTTTCATACACAAACAACATGCTTTAATTAATTTTCTCATGCAATAACTACTATTCATCTACCAAAAAATCACTAAAATATTCTTTAAGCATGAAAAATTATTTTGACCCTTCTAAATATTCTTTTAAGTTTCTAATAATTATGTCTCGTTCTCAAAAATATTTATTTATTTATTTTCACACGGTTTTAATATTAAACTTTTATTACATTTCTATTTTAACGAGTACGGGCATTACAACTTACCTGGCTAATATTAGATTTTTAAAACATAGATTTCACTTTAGACATGAAGATTAAGTCATAATGCCTTGTTAGCTTGCATTCATTGCACTTTCAATGTGGGTTAACGGCGGTAATATTCTTAACCTTTTAGGTCCTAGGTTGGGGGTTTTATAATTATAATGTCACTCGATCGATGATCGACACATAATTGAAATTTTTTATTTTATAATACTACGTGTCAATATTGATTTATAACTTTATGACAAAAGATTTGACATACTAAATTTTGAAGAATAAAAGATCTTAATTAAACAAAAAAAGAATAAAAGATTTCAATAAAAAAAAATCGAAGAATGTAGGGTCCAATATAGAGAAAACTCATTTAAAAAAGTAGATGGATAACATCTATCAAAGATGGTCCAACTTGTTCTTATATAATGAGTAGGTGTTCGATATGTTTTTATAGCTTAAAATAAACCCATAATATCCTTATATATTAAATGAGGTTTCAATATATCATTATGATGATTTTTTTAGATAAAGCTGTCATAAAGCATAATGTCATTTGCACATGATTAATTTTATTTTGAAAACGTTTTTCGGATAAACCACCTTCTTTCCCACCTTGGTCGAATCACGTCGAAGACAAACATCAAACTAATTTTTTCATTTTTTTTGTTTTTTGTTCTATTTCTTGTCTCCTCCCTTTCCTCTCTAAAAATCAAGCCAAAAATTACCTTAAAAACAATCAATCCCGCCACAATAAATAAAACTACGAGCAAAATTAATTTGATCTAACTAAAGATTTCAAGTAAGTAATTTGACACTCAACTTATATCAAATAAATCATTAAACTATTAATTTAATAGATTATTAAATTTTCTCTTGTAAAAAGAATTATTTAAAAAAAACAAATGGATAAATTTAGGAGAAAAATCTAATATGTCTTTACACAATAAGGTAAGTATCTAATATGGTTTTATATTTCAATAATGTCTTTGCATATTAAATGAGTTTTTAATTTATTATTCTAATGATTTTTTTTTTCGATAAAACTATTAGAAAGTATTATATAATTTGAACATGACTAATTTTATTTTGAAAGTGCTCTTTAGATGAACCACTCTTTTTCCGACCTTGATCGGAATCGATGAAGGAAAAGCATCAAATCCTTTTTTTTTTGGTTCTCTTTCTTGTTCTTCTTCATCCCTTCTTCCTCTCTTTTCTTTTCCTTCTAAACATCCAGCCAAAATCACCTTAAAACAAATCAATCCTGTCACTTTTCTAGCCACCCACAAAACTTTCGGACCAAAACCTCCACATTTTATCTAGATCAAGCCCTAACTTGTCGATCTATACACCTAGTTCTTAGAACCTACCTTTTACACCTTTCCTTTATCTTCTTTTAGACAAAATCAAGCCCTAATATTCTAGCCACTATCAAACCTGCCACTTTCCTTATTTTCTAGCTATCCACAATCTTAAACACTAAAACTCGCTACCTTTCATCAAAAAATACACTAAAACCCTAAATACTTGGACGTTCATGTTACATGCTCATTCATCGGAGGGGTATTTCTATATAAAATTAGCCATATACAAATCACACTTGAAAAAAGTACATCATTAGAATCATTTATTGGAACTCACTTAATATACAAAGATATAAATTACTGATTTTAGAATATAAGAATAGATTAGACTCTAAAACATTATTTAATGGCAAGTTGGGCCATTTCTTCTAAAATTTAATTGACAAACGTAAAAAATACCATCCAATCTGTATAGGTAATATCATTGCTACAACCATATAATTTTTTTATATCAATTTGACCTTTAAATTTTTTAAACTATCCACTTAAATACTTTTATATAAATTTTAAGATTTTTTATCCATATTTCCATCTAAATTGTACTTTTTCATATACAAAACGATGCTATTTTATAAAAACTTAACGATTTTTGTTAAATGATTATAATAGAAGTCCTTAATTAAGAAATTAAAATAGCTTTTTAATAAAATTGATATGAAAAAAATAGTATGAATGTAAAATTGATAATTCTCTAATAGTTTGGTGGTATATTTAATTTTTGCTCAATCTAATTTAGAAAAAGTACTCGAGGGCTAAAAAAGCCAAAAAAATTACCGGTAATTAAGACATGTTCCATTTCAATGTCGCGCCACTTTGGTAGTTACAGAACTTCAGTACCTATCAAAGGTGGAAGCAAACCCAATGTTCTCGAACTAGATTCTATCCTGTACGTGGATTTCTGTCCAAAGACTCAAGCAATCTGATTCTCCTCCTGTTTTTTACGCAAAAGACAAAAAACAAAGTAAGAAAGTGAAAGCATAAACAAATGACAACATGATGATGAAGACTATCAGCTCGCGCTTGGTGCACTCACAGTCCCCCTTCTCAAACTCCAGTAAGTGCTAGCAATTAAATAACTTGTTAGTAATTTTGTCATTCCTTGAAGTTATATGGCTCTGTTCTCGTCTGGGTTTTCATCAATTTTGTTTATTGAACGATATATCTATAAATTGGCCCGCAAAAGTTATAGGAAGTTAACTAGGTAGGAGATTTATTTATTTATTTTATTGTGATGATTAAATGAAGGATTAAAAGTGTTACTTTCAAGAATTTGTGTTGGTCAACAAAAATATAACCAAATTTGATGACCATTGGTTACATGGCTTGATTATTAACTAGCTTTTTAATGATTAAATAGATCAAAGAAGTATTATGGGGAAAGTGGAGATGGGGTGCTAAAATGTGGTACTTATAACTATTCTTGAATCTGCTATTGATGCTAATGAGAGATTGAAGAGGATATTAGTAAATGATATGTAGGATGATGGGAGAGGGTGGTGGGGGTGTGCTTTTGGGGCTTATTTGCAATTGTTAATGTGCTGGCAAAGTTCAAGGAGATGGTTTATCGAATGGTCAGTGTTCGATATATCTTGAGTTGATAAGAGTAACATAATGTGGCTGAACCGAATTATACAAGAATTGTAAAGGGATATTTGCAAAATTGCGTACTAAAATGATCTATTCAATTGTCTTGCACTTATTTCGCTGATTTTCTTGCAATTTTATTTTTCTTGTCTGAACCAGAAAATTAAATCATTTCATCAATAGACCGAAATCATGCAATAACATTATAACATTAAAGAATTTAAAGCTTCCCTTGTGAAGACCTTCTCCGGTTTATGGATCCATTATATCTTAATGCAAAATCATTTCTGTTATTGCCGATACAGTTCACTGTTTGTGGCTAGAAATGAAAGATTCTTGTCTACAAGTGCTGAGAAGGTTGATGGATCATCAAAACCTGAAGAAGCAGAGAGAGTGGAATTTACACGTTCAACAGAAAAGGTTTATTTCCTTGTTATAAAGAGACACCTCGCAGATAATTATTCTCTATTTAGATGTAGTGGTATTATTTTCTTGCTCACTAAATAGCGGTTGGTTTAGCTACTTATTTTAGGTGGAAATGGATTTGTTGGGTCACATATATGCAGAGAAGCTCTAGCCCATGGTCTGAATGTATCCAGCTTGAGCAGGTATTACTTCCTTAATAGTGATCAACAGAGAACTGAAGGTTTTAGAATACTGCCATTGCTAATTCAGATTTTGCGAATATCAGGTCAGGAAGGTCTTCTCTACATGATTCTTGGGCTAACAACATAGTCTGGCATCAAGGTTACCATGAGTTGTATTTTTGTTGTTTCTGCCCTCTTATTAGAATTTGACGAGTAATACACCTTTTCGTTCACCACCTACAGGAAATCTGCTTTCTCCTGAATCATTAGGGGATCCAATGAATGGAGTGACTTCTGTGGTATGAGATCTTTTAATCAATTCTCTTTAGTATTAGATAGTATTATCTGAAAATGAAAAACAAGAGAGAAGTTGAGTTCAAGTATCGATAATCATATACTTTTATATTTGCAATCACTAATATTGCCTTGTCAATCACCATTTTTGGATGTGATGGTTCTTTTGTATCTTTCAAAGAAGTATAACCTGGTCTTATTAAATTATATAGCCTATATTTGTTATAAAAAATGACAGAATGCACTTACTTTGGTTATTGGCAAATTGATAGTTAGAATTCTGTAATATATAAGCACATTCATTAAGTTTTATGTTCCATGCAATGATAAGAATTGGATTATCATGTGGATGCGTGATAGGGACTTTTAGAGTTTAGAATTTTAGTGACTAACTTGTGTTTGTCATTCTAATTTCTGCTAAGATTACTTTAGCAGTTGGTTTACTTAGTGCGGTGACCTAGTAATTATCCTGACTGTTTCTAAACTAAAGCATTGTCTTCTCAATTAATTTTCATAAGAAAACATCTCCTCTGATTTTAACCTGACAAAAGTAAATGCTCCAGTACTTCATCAATTTTAAGTTCGAATTCTAAGAATACTTCTGGATGGCTTGGATCAGTGCTTCAATACTTTGCTGATTCTTGTTCTACTGCAATACTCACACTGATTTCATCTATAATGACACAACATCTGGTTTTTTTTTTATTTGATGGTACAAATTTTTGTGGGCATATTGTGACAAGGTTGTGACAACACACACATATCCCACTAAGAGATGCTACCTCCCTCTCTGAGTTTGTTGAGTTACAAAACTTTGTATTGCAATGAAAGTTTACTTTCAAATAACTTTTTGGATAGATGTTGGTTGTTGTTTTGATTTTAGGTAAACTTTTGTAGATCTCATGTGTTGGAGGTTTCGGCTCAAACTCTTACATGTATAATATCAATGGATCTGCAAATATAAATGCTATTAGAGTTGCTGCAGAACAAGGTATAGCATTTTTCTTTGAAAATTTTCCTCTTTTAACTCTTTAATCATGTTGTAACTATTCAAGACATTGCTATTGTTAATTTAATTTTTCAGAAAATTTCTGGCATAAAGATTAGTTAGAATTTATGGCATTAAAAAAAAAAAAAAAAAAGCGAGGACAAGAAAGCAGCTCTGGCTAGAGGACCAACTAGGAAGAAGAGGGATTTTTTATTATTATTATCTTTAGAATCAGAAATCATCATCTTTCATCAGCTATGATTCACTGCATAGGTTGATAGGGACCTCCATAATTTAGCAATAGTTCTGCTAGTAGCCTCACATGCTGTATTTAATAAAGCAAAATTTCATGAAATAGAATTTTACTGCAGTATGCTTATCATATCCTGATGATTGTATGGAACAGTAGGCTGTTTAGCTAGGGCAATTGAATATTTAGATATGAATGCATCTTGTACATCATGAAGATAACTTGTTAGTCTATTGCTTATTTTAGATCTGTACATATTAGTTTGATATACCTAATATGTAGCCAAAATCCATCATTTTAAGATTGGAAAAGACCAAAGCAGTTGGAAAAAGATGAATTGAAAGTACAGGGCCAAAAGATCTATGAAATGAATAAAGAACAGAAAAACTTTTGCATCATGTTTGGGTTTGGGGTGCCGGGAGTGAGAACGGAATGGGAAAGGGAAGAGGAATTGAGGGCAGGGCACTTGTCCTCCTTTTGTCTGGATGTATGAGAGGAGAAAGGAGAGTGATGTCCCCTTTTTGGTCAGAGAGTAGAGGGGTTCAGTTAAAAATCCAATATGCTCCCCTGCCTAACTTCTCAATCTGGAAATTTCATGCAGAAGTTTGACAATAAAAAGAGAAGCAATATGTTTATAAATTTCATCCACTATCACTCCAACTTGGAGTGTTGAAATTTTCACTATGTGAAGAGTGTTCGGGATCAGGGAAACCCTGCAGTGGACTTTTCCCTTTACGTAAAGATTTTCGAACAAGATTTCAGGGTTCGTTCATTTTCTCTTCCCTGAATCTGTTCCAAAATAGATAGACTGTAATTGTTTATATTTGCTTTGAAGATTTATCACTGAGGTCCTTGATAAAGTTGAGTAGATGTCATCTCAGGAACTCCCGAACTCCACATTTGAAACAAAAGTAATGGGTATTCTGCTATGACACAGTGGAAACAGTTGGGGGAAGTCCTTAGTAAAGCTTACATACTATTGCTAAAATCTGTTATTTTGGTTCTCTAGTGAAAATACAATTGGAAAAAGTTAATGATATCTTTATTCTCATAGATATAACCTTTCATACCACGGTTCTATTACTTTTTCATTTATTTTCTATACTTTGGTATTTTGTTCAGAGATTTGTTCTGATGGATGTAGATCTAAGGTGGAAACCTCCATTTTTTCTCGTACTGAAAGAAGGTTTGATTGAAATAGGATTTAGTAGTCATAAATCACAGCGACTACAAATTGTGTTAATGTGGAAAACCTGTTTTTAGGCTTAGTTGGTGGCTGCCAAAATGTGTTATTCACCTTTTGCTTGTTTTTCCAGTTTTACATTTTGAGAATTGATAAATATTGCCATACTCCTTACTGTGCATGGATGTCTTCAGGTGTCAAAAGATTTGTATATGTCTCTGCTGCTGACTTTGGTCTGATGAAATATTTACTGAAAGGATATTTTGAAGGAAAGGTACAAAATTAAATGGCTATTCAATGATTTATTATTTGTCTATAATTAAGTTTCTTGTTATTAGGCCAAGCAAATGATATGATGATTAAGCACTCTTAGTTCCTATACTTGTTCAGTTCCTTATAGGATCAATCCAAATGGAAATCTTTTTCAATGCTACACATTACTTGTAATGCTCAAAGATTTGAATCTTTATGGCATAATTTTTATTTTTATTTTTTATTTTTTTATTTTTTTATTTTTTATTTTTTTTTCAGATCATAGCTTCTAATCTTTCTCCTTGTGCAGAGATCAACAGAAACTGAACTACTGGATAAATTCCCACATGGAGGTCAAGTTTCCCAATCTCTTGCTCTTGAATTTTGGCATTTGGATAATTCTCATATTGTATGGTAGGGTAGTAGTCCAACACAGTTTCGGTTTTATTGATACAGTCCTTAATTACTAGTGCTAAATTGAAGTTTCAATTGAAATTTATTATTCTTGACAAAGTCATGCTCAGCTTTTAAGTCATTTCATTGACATTAAAATTGTATCAAAAAAACTTGTCCTGATCTGCAATCCAGTTTGCCTAAATTATGTTAGGTATGTCATAACTGATCTTCTTTCTCACTTATTCAAATTTCCCATGAGCTAAACAGTTGAATAATTATAATATTTCTTGCTGACTCCATACACTGGCAATTCTATAAATGAGCATTTGAGGATATTCTTTTATTTTCCTCCTGTTCTGGCAGTTTTTAGGGTGAATTTATAAAGAGCAATGTAATCGTTATAACCAATCTTTCCTTTCTTTTTTTTTTTCATAACAGGTGTAATACTTAGGCCGGGTTTCATACATGGTACTCGTAGGGTTGGGAGTATTCATCTACCTTTGAGTGTTATCGGGGCTCCACTGGAGATGGTAATGCACAAAATTTATCAACCCTTTATGCATTCTTCTGATTCCATGTATTATATATTCACATTCTTCCAAAAAGGACTGATATTCAAGTAATACGTAGTTGGTCTGGTTTATTTGATTTTTCATGAGAAGGGGTTTAAGAAAAAAGGGAAGAAAAAAAATTGAATAGGAGGTGAGCTTGTCTGTGGAGCACGATCGAAATTGGAGCTGTATAGTGATCTCCTTGATCTAGCGTTGCATAAGTATTCGCCAATTAGCAAATTCTCTTTGGTTGATAATTGCTTCTTTGTTTGCTTCTTTTGGGATGCCAGGATCCATGTTTAGCTAGATGTTTGATATAAAATACCTCTACTCATCATGTCTGATTTATACCTTCTACATATGCATTTTAATTGCATTTAAATCCACTCCATCATGCAGTTACTTGGTTTAATACTCTTTGAACCTCAAGATGATGATAATTATATCTATACTTCATATTTACAATTAGTACATGGATTGCAGGTTCTCCGACATGCTAAGGTGCTGACCCGACTGCCACTTGTTGGTCCTCTTTTTATACCTCCTGTAAATGTCACTTCAGTGGCAAAGGTTGCTGTAAGAGCTGCAGTTGATCCATCATTCCCTTCTGGCATTGTTGATGTATATGGTATACTACAATATAGCCAACAAAATCCTGTTTAGGCTGTCTGTGCTTTTGGTTTTTTTCCCTAGTACAACAACAACATCGATTTAGTTGATCTTTACTGGAAACGCCACTGTCCTTGAACATTACAATCTGATGCCAATTTCAATGTCGAAACAATCTATTGAAGATCAATTCATATGTTTGAAGATTTTATGCGATATCATGCACTTTTTTTTTTTTTGGCGTCTAGATGGTTTGCAGATAGCCTTTTCTTATATTGACATCAAAGCAATTTCTGTTTACAGTTAAGGGAAATGAATGCTCATCGTTCAAATACCATTTGAGACCAATAAACCTATTCTAAATTTCTTATCAGACATTCCGAATATACACAGAATGAGGATTTTAATCACTGGATTATTGTCAGTTGTGTGCTACCGGTCTATTTAAGATCACCGTTCATGTTCATTGATAGATGCATAAGATTATGCCTGGAGTTTGGCAGCGCTAGATAAAATGACATAGAGATTGGTGTTTGATAAATGCAACCTCCCAGGATGTCCAGTTTACCCTGGTGATGGAGGACAGTAGAGGCAGTGTGATGGACTTAATGAAGACCAACAAGAAAGCTTAGGCAATGGGAAGATTGGACCTGGAGGATAGTAGATGCCGTGTGATGGACTTAAAGAAGACCAACAAGAAAGCTCAGGCAATGAGAAGATTGGACAAGCAAGAACAGCCTCAAACTTAGGGCAAACAATCTTAACCTTTTAAGCTTTTATCCAAGCATAGGCTGAGACGATATTGCACAAATTGGATTTTTAAGTCCCAGTCAGTTGTCATGGTAGTTTGTTTTCTGGGTTTCTGATGCCTTAGGAGGATGCTGCCAAGCTACTAGGGCAATGCCAGTGATCATAGGCTCCTAGAGCCTTGAGAGGAAACTGAAGTATCAATTAGTTTCCATTTTTGAAGTATTTCTGTTGAAGATAATTATACCCCATGAGATCCAAATTGGCTGTGATGTTGTGTCTGTGTCATAACCAATTCATTACTCTTTATTACACTGATTATGGATCAGAAATTATAGCTACTGCATTGTTCAGGTGGATCTGTTGAAAATTATAAACATCTCTCATAATTTGCTGTGTAAGTTTGCATGTCCTCACATTGCATAATTGGTAAAATTTCCTCAATTTAAGTTAAGTATTATCATTAGACAAGTGGAAATAATCCATTCTGAAGCAAAAAGAAACAGGCATCTTATTTACTTAATGCATCTTCAAATCTAGGGAAAGACAGATCTTTCCTTTGAGTTGAGTGCTACCAGCGCTTGAGAGAGCAAGACTAGCAACTTGAAAGGACAAAATGTAGCAAAATTGCAAAAGAAAAGAAACGAAACGAAAAGAAAAACCTAAAGAACAAAGTGGGGATCCAAATATCTCTCATTTGTTTGTTCCAACTTTGCTCTTAATAGTATCAGCAGCTCCTTGTGCTTTAGCCATTATTTGCTGACCAGTCTGCAATTCAAAGTAATGGGTAAACATCAACAAATAAAAACAAGAAATAGTGATATGGGATCTATAAAAGTAAACTATTCAGGCAATTCGATTTCCAAGTTGATCTTTGCTAGCTGATACCAGGCACTGATTAAAGGATAATCTCTGAGACTATAATTCCCTGAAAGATTGAGATGATTTAAACTTAATATTTTACAACTGTTAATGAGCATAGTGGAGAAAAAGTCCTGAACCTCTTGGCACGATTCCTTGGCAGACTGAGCAGCACTGGAAGCTTTGTCCATAAACTGGTTCGTCTTTTCCTGAAAGGAAAATATGATAGAAACATCATCATCATTCACCAAGGAACATCTAGGAAATCTACTATATTTACCATAATTCATAAGGATGAAGAACTAGGCATAGATGCCTTGCATCTTGTATAATGCAAGTAAAATGGCATCAAGACATTGTCTATTATATACACATGGAGTACTAATATCAACACTAACCTGAGCTTGGCCCTTGGTTTGGCCAGCTTGGAAGTCACTGTTGAGAGAATCCATTCTTTAGGTTTCTTTTTGGGAACACAAATGCAAAAACGATTGAGGCTTAAGTATTCAACTTAAATTGGAGATGAAAATCTTGAAAATTTGAGAGAGAATTTATAGTACTCTGTGCCCCCTCCATCTCTTGACATCTAACACCTAGATGAATGCTTTTTTTCGAATGTGTCACTCTCTAAGTGAAGCTTGAGGTAGTTTAACCTTGGAACCAGGACAAGCTTACAGCTGATGATTCAATTCAAAGTTGTTAGCATTTGTTACGGGTTTAGACTCTTGTCCAGTCAGTGTTAAGGTTGAGTTTGTTTTGCTATTAATTCGCTACCATTATGTGTTTTTCTGTTTTTCCTTTTTAATCTACAACCAAATATTTTATTTGTTCACAGTAAAAAAAAGCCATATAACAATTATCAAAGAGAAATTTTAAAATATTTAAAAGAAGTAATTATCAATACTTACTTTATGGACTCATTTTTTAAATAGAAAGACCAAAAAAAAAAAAATCCAAATCCATAAAAAAATTATAAAAATATTTCAATCTACATTATTTTTTTTTAATTCTCTCTTTCCTGTTTTTCTCACTTTTTTTTTTTTTTTTTTGTATATCTCTCTCTTATAAAATAAATAGTATTAGTTAATTTTTTAGTATTATAAAATTTCTCCTTACAAAGCATATGAGACCAAAATCAAGAAGTTCTTTGTTTGTGTTTTTTTTTTCCTTCCCATGAAAGAAGAATAGGATTAGATATAAATAAAACAAATGTTATCTTGTACATTGATATACATACAAAACATACATATATATATATATATATATATATATATATATATATATATATATAAGACACAAAACAATTAACACTACAAAAAAAATTAATTTTAGCGACGGAAAATTCGTCGCTAATTGCAAATAGCGACGGATAAAATTTCGTCGCTAATTCGTCAGTCGCTAAATTTTAGCAACGGAATATTAAGTCCGTTGCTATATTTAGTGACGAAAAATGCGTGGCTAAACCCAAAAATCCGTCGCTAAACTTAACTTGGGATGGCTCTCCTTTTTCGTACTTAATCCGTCGCTAATCTGTTGCTAATTTTTGTCATTAATCCGTCGCTATTTCCGAAAATGAATTTTTCCGCAATTGCTTCGCTTTTGTTGACATTTTCAAAAATTATATTATATTATTAATATAGCATTTAATAATTAAAATTAATAATAAACAATCATATGTAATCATGTATATATGAAAAATAAAATAACATTAACAAAATCATTCTAGAATACGTTTCATAAAAAAACAACAAAACAAACAAAGTGATTGAATATTACATCACTCATCCCACTCGTCTAATCCCATATCCTCATCCTCATGCTATGTTGAGTGCTCTCCTGGAGGATCGACCGAAGGCCGAGTGGAAGGACCAACAGATTGCTCGAATGGTCGACGGATCTATAGACAACCCGGATGTCCATGTTAGCTGCATTAGTAAGGATGCCATGAATCGTATTGAGACTTCATGTTACAAATAGTCTCCTTCGGCTCGATCACCTCTTCCTTAGTGGCCTCGTAGTCCATCCGAAGTTGTTCGCTAGTCGGATCGATCATGTATTGTGACGTCGTAGAGGAGGAGCTGCCGCCACCCGATCGAGATGCATAATGCACCGATTGTGTGCCGATCCCATAAAATCTTTTTTTCTTTTCCTCAACAGACTGTAAGTATATGGCATTCTATTCTACTTCTAGCTCTAAGATTCCCGCCTCCTCCGAGCCTCAACTTCCTCATTGATTAGTCGCTCCACACGATCCTATATTAACAAAATAATAATATCATCGTTACGGTATTAAAATAAATTTTCATATTCAATATTTGAAATTGAAAAATACTAACATGTGCATGTTGGGAGTGCATATCGACGAATGAACCATCACGTTTCTTATGAGTCCTCCGGAACAACTCAAAACTCGTAGGTGGGCATCCTAATTCTATTGCCTAAAAAAAACATTACAAATAATATGACAAGTCCCAAATTGAAATTTTATGAAATAAGTAAATAATAATAGAGTATAATTTACCAAGCGACGTGCATGCTCTCGTGAAGATATTGAGCCCCTCGTATGTCTAGAAGGACCCCAACTAGGACCACCGAGTCTTTGACAATCGATTACACGATGCTTGCTCCGAACGAGCCATATGATCGGGTTTCTTGAAATCAACTTGCCACGCATCCCATGCCCCCGACTCATAAATTGAGGTCGCTTATGCATCAAATTGATCTTGTATACAAAGTTATCATAGTGTTTCCTAGCGAGACGCTCTCATGCCCCTTTAACAAATGGATCGATGTCGACATCTCATTCAAAATGTTTCTGCACAAGCAAAAAAATTTATATAACTTATTTGATGAGATAATTTTTTGTGTAATTATAAAGAAAATTATAAATACGTTACCTTGAATTCACTAAAGTAGAAGTCTTTAATGACGTTGGGGACATCCTTCCATGATGATCCTTTCTTGTCCACCCGTTCCTAAAAAATTTCAAACATCTTCATAGAATAATCTCTACTATCCGGAGTCAATCTATCAAGCAAATAACAAAATGATGAAACAAATATTTTAAACGTAATTATTAATGAAATTACATATTAAAAAGAAAATACATACAATCCGTAATCGACGAAACAATACGTTGTAGACAAAATGAGTCGTGAGAACTCTCCGGAGTGTCAAACACGTGTGTGGAGGGGCCACTCTTGGAGGTCGACGGTGGAACCTCCGGTGCAGAAATAGGAACACCTGTCGATGCAAATGTGCTAGCTCCATGACTACGGCAGTTGTGTGATCCACGAAAAAATCCTATCGTTGGAGGAAGAAAGATGTGCTAGCTCTACAACTAACAAATTTAAACTATTGCATACAAATTAACATAACAAGGTAATTAACAACATTCAAATAATTAATAAACTAATAAATAAAAAAATTTCACTAAAAATATATAACATTTATCTAACTTTAAAAAAAGTACAAGTTAGAGAGAGAAAATTTTACCCGACGGATCAAGTGTATAGAGCACGGATCCGATCCGATTTTGAGGAAGAAAGATATCCCTTACTTTGTTGAATGCTTTGGAAAAAAATTTAGTGGTGTGGGGCAACATGGGTGGCCATTTTTTTGATCGACACCGAAAAGTGAGGTGTAGTGGAGGTGAGGGAAACAAATGAAGAAGTAAGAAGGAGGAAAGGCTCATATATATAAGCAAAATAGCGATGGACCCGATTTCGTTGCTAATTGACAACGGATCGGCTGAGTCCGCCTTTGTTTGAGGGGGAAATTTCCCCCTAATTAGCGACGGACAGCTCGTCCATCGCTAATTAACAACGAATCGATCGATTTGTCGCTATTGAGGAGGGAAATTTCCCCCATCAAGTCCGTGGCCGATTAGCGATGGACTAGCCATCCGTCGTTGATTAGCGACGAAATGGCTTTTCGTTGTTAATTTTCGGGGGAAATTTCCCCGCAGAGCTAGCGACGGATCGAGTCTGTCTCTATTTAGCGACAGAATAAATTTTGTCGCTAATTTTATATTTTACGATCGAATTTTTGTCACTAATCCGTCGCTGAATTTGGCACTTTTTTTCCCGCTTTATTTAATGACGGGTTATTTTTTGTTGCTAAGTATCCCTCGTTAATCCGTCACTAAATCATCGTAAAAATTACTATTTTGTAATCCGTTGCTAATCTTCGCTAATTAGCGACGGAAACCAATTTGTCGCTAAATTTCATCGCTAATTCATTTTTTTCGGTATTGTAAAGTATCATTAAACAAGAAGTTTTCTTTAGTACAATTAAACAATAACTAACAAGTAAAAAATAATCCCATTCTTAAAAAGAAAAAAAAGTAAGAAATAATCTCATTTATGTTTAAAAGAAACGCAACACCATTCAATTTCTTTTAGTGACAATTTTTAAAAACCAAAGAAAATAAAAAGTAAAAAGATATGTAATTAAGAAAAAAAAACTAAAAGAAGCTGGTTATTGTTCTAATACTATTCATTTACTCGTTGCATCACTCACATAATGACTATTCATTGTAACTCGAGTGCACTTCGTTTAAGCCATTTTCTTCGATCTCAACCGTCTACCAAATGTATGTCTTTTTCGCGACGATCCGATCTGCCAGACTTGATGCTTTTTAATTTTTTCTTTTCTCTCGATGTGGGGTTGTTGCTTGGTTTCTATCTCTTGAATTTTCCTTAATTTCTCTTTTGCCACTACAAAAGAACCTAAAAACCATTTTGTTTCATTCTTAATTTTGATCATCGCCACTTAATGGATTTGTGATAACTCATACTTGTCCTTGACTAATTCTTTTTTTAATTTTTTTTTTATCTTTTTTGTCATTGACTTTCTTTTCGGATGAAGCATTTAATGTTCTATCTTTTATTGCTTTTTTGCCCTTATTTTCGTAAGGAGCATGTTGGTATTCAAGAATAAATTATAAATTAGTCCCTCTCGCTTTGAGAACGAATTAATTAATCCTTCCGGTTCAAAAATTAATTTTTTTATCCTTTTTGTTATTTGTCAATTTATTTAGATTTTTTTTTAAGAAATAGAAAAGGAATAAAAAAAATAAGTGAAAATATGAAAATATTGATGAGAATAAAAGACATTTTATAAAAAAAATTACTTGCGATCAACAATAGTTAAAAGGATTAAGTAATTAGTGTTTTAAACTAAAAGGACTAATTAATTCATTTCTCAAAATGAGATGAACTAATTTATAATTTATTTCCCAATTTAAGGATCTCTTTCATCCTTCTTTGTAGGTGATTTTTTCTTTTTAGCAAATATCATACTAGTATACTTGCTATGTATGATTACTCTTAAAATTCTAATAAATGAACAATAAAAACTTGATGTGTTATTTCAAGGTTATGTTGGCATATATATTTCGTGAAAGTAGCAATTATGATATAATCACAAATTATACAATAAACTAAAAGAG